CGGTTTATTTCCTAACAATTGGTATCAGAGTTTTTGGTTGTGAATTTTGTCAATTTTTTGCGAGGTTACTATTCACGTGAATATTGAACAGTGAATAGTAAAATTTTGTCGACGATACGAGTTTATCGACGGAGGTGTTATAATACACGGTGGTTCACACAAATTGTCAAAAACAATCCAAAGAAGCCAAATTCGAGTGGGAGCGATGGCTGCAGAAGAAGGGAAGGTGAAAATTGAGAAGTTCGATGGTGCAGACTTTGGCTTTTGGAAGATGCAGATTGAAGATTTTCTGTACCAGAAAAATCTATATCAACCTCTCTCAAGAAAACAACCAGAGGGCATGAAGAACGAAGACTGTGCTCTTCTCGACAGACAAGCCCTCGGAGTTATCCGACTGACGTTATCCCGCAATGTTGCTTTCAACATAGCAAAGGAAAAGACCACGGCGGGTCTTATGGCGGCTCTCTCCAGTATGTATGAGAAGCCATCAGCCTCAAACAAATTTCATTTGATGAGGCGATTATTCAATTTGCGGATGGCGAAAGGGGCATCGGTGGCTCAACACCTAAATGAACTCAACACAATCACAACCCAGTTGAGTTCCGTAGAAATTGAATTCGATGATGAAGTTCGAGCTTTAATTCTCTTATCATCTTTACCAAACAGTTGGAATGCTACTGTTACAGCAGTTAGCAGCTCGTCGGGAAACAACAAATTGAAATTTGACGATGTTCAGGATCTGGTACTGAGCGAAGAAATTCGAAGGAGAGAATCAGGTGAAGCATCAACCTCCTCAGCCTTGCACACGGAGTCCAGAGGGAGAACTTCAGAAAGAAATTCAAATCATGGCAGATCCAAATCCAGAACGGGAAAATCAAGAACGGGAAAGAAAGATTTTACCCGTTATAACTGCGGCAAGAAGGCTCACTTTAAAAGAGATTATCGAGCACCGAAGAAAAATATCGGCGCACAGGAATCTGCCAACGTGACAGAGGAGACAGGTGATGCCATGGTTCTAAGCGTCAACAGTCCAATTGAATCATGGATCTTGGATTCAGAGGCATCTTTCCACTCCACCCCATGTCGAGAAATCATTGAGAAATATATCAGTGGTGATTTTAGGAGGGTTCATCTAGCTGATAATGAAACCTTGAAGATTGTCGGAAAATGAGACATCCGATTAAAGTTGCCAAACCAGACCACCTGGACGCTGAAAGGAGTGAGACATTTTCCTGGCCTCAAAAGAAATTTGATTTATGTAGGACAGCTTGATGGAGAAGGATATAGCACAACCTTTCCAGGCTGTGAATGGAAGATTACCAAAGGAGCACTCGTCATTACTCGTGGTAAGAAGACTGGTACTCTCTATGTAACCTCAAATTTAGAGAATAATATTACAGTAGCAGATGCTGATGGAAAATCAAACCTATGGCACCAAAGGCTTGGCCATATGAGCGAGAAAGGGATGAAGACACTTTTGTCAAAAGGGAAGTTGTCGGATCTAAAGAGTGTAGATGTCAGACTATGCGAGGATTGCATCTTTGGCAAACAAAAGAAAGTCAGTTTTGCAAAGATTGGCAAGACACCCAAGGTAGAAAAGTTAGAGTTGGTTCATACTGACGTATGGGGACCATCTCCAGTTACATCTCGTGCAGGCTCATTATATTATGTCACATTCATCGATGATTGTACAAGGAATGTGTGGGTTTATTTTCTGAAGAAGAAATCAAAAGTCTTTGATACCTTCAGAAAATGGAAGGCCATGGTGGAAAATGAAACTAGTTTCAAAGTCAAGCGGTTGAGGTCTGACAATGGAGGAGAGTACAAAAATAGAAGATTCAGAGATTTCTGCGCAAACAATGGGATCAAGATGGAGACAACAGTTCCCATGACACCGCAACAGAATGGCGTAGCAGAGCGCATGAACAGAACTCTGAATGAACGTGCCAGAAGCATGAGGATACATGGCAACTTACCCAAATTTCTATGGGTTGAAGCTATCAACTCTGCTGAAAGAAGTAAACTTGATGTTAAGTCCAATAAATGTGCCTTTGTTAGTTATGGCGGTGATGAGTTCGGTTACCGATTTTGGGACTATGAAAATCGGAAGATCATCAGAAGCAGAGATGTCATTTTCAATGAGAATGTGATGTACAAAGATAGATCAACCATAGAATCAAGTAGCTCAAACACCGAAGCTGAAACAAATAAATTTGCTGAGTTCGAGGAGATTTCTGGAAATGAAGTTCAGATCAGTCATGAAGCAGTTCAAGAAGAACCAGGCACACCAGAACTGAGACGCTCCTCCAGAATTCCTAAACCAACCCAACGGTATTCTCCTTCTTTGCACTACTTATTGCTGACTGACAATGGTGAACCAGAGTGCTATGATGAAGCAATGCAAGTGGAGGATTCATTCAAGTGGGAGTCTTCCATGAAAGATGAGATGGACTCACTTATGTCAAATCAGACGTGGGAATTAGCTGAATTACCACCAGGCAAGAAAGTTCTCCACATCAAGTGGATTTACAGGATCAAGGAAGAGCACGATGGGAGCAAACGCTACAAAGAGAGATTGGTTGTCAAAGGTTTTCAGCAAAAAGAAGGTATTGACTACAATGAAATTTTCTCTCCAGTAGTAAAACTGTCTACAATCAAACTAGTGTTGAAAATTATAGCTGCATAGAATTTACATCTTGAGCATTTAGATGTAAAGACAGCTTTCCTTCATGGTGATTTGGAGGAAGAAATCTATATGAGGCAACCAGAAGGCTTCATAAAGGCAGGCAAGAAAACCGGGTATGCAGGTTGAAGAAGAGCTTGTATGGTTTAAAACAAGCTCGTAGACAGTGGTACAAGAAGTTCGATAGTTTCATGAGTAGCAGTGGTTTTACCAGATTCCAAGCAGATCATTGTTGCTACATCAAAAGGTTCAACAACAGCTTCATTATTTTATTGTTGATGACATGCTCGTTGCAGGCTCAGACATACAAGAGATTATAAACTTGAAGCAAAAATTGTCGAAGCAGTTTGCTATGAAGGATCTGAGAGCTGCAAAGCAGATTCTTGGAATGAGGATTAAGAGAGACACAAAGTCGGGGACTTTGATGTTATCACAGGCTGAGTACATCAACAAAGTATTCTCCAAGTTCAACATACAAAATGCTAAACCAGTAAGTACACCTTTAGGTATTCATTTTAGACTCTCCAAAGAACAGTCACCAAAGACGGAGGAAGAACGTGCACACATGGTGAAGGTGTCGTATGCCTCAGCAATTGGAAGTCTAATGTATGTCATTACTTGTACTAGACCAAATATTGCTCATGCATTGGGAGCTATTAGCATGTACATGAATAATCCGGGCAAGGTACACTGGGAAGCAGTCAAATGGATCCTCAGATATCTGCGGGGTACTACAAACAAAGCACTTTGTTTCAAAGGTGGAGATACAATACTGACAAGCTATGTAGATGTTGACTTAGCCAGAAATGTTGACATTAGAAGGAGCATTACAGGGTATGTCTATACTCTAGGAGGTACTGCAGTGAGTTGGGTTTCTCAACTACAGAAGATAGTTGCTCTCTCCTCAACTGAAGCAAAATATGTCGCTGTTACGGAAGCCAGTAAGGAGATGGTCTGGCTCCAAAGTTTCTTGGAAGAGTTAGGCAAGAAACAAGAAAACAATGTCTTGTATTGCGACAGTCAAAGTGTTATCCATCTAGCAAAGAATCTGTCTTTTAATTCTAGGACGAAGCACATACAATTGAGATATCATTTTATCCGATCTCTTCTGGAAGATGGGGTTTTGAAACTTGAAAAGATTAGTGGAGCTCAAAATCCGGCAGACATGTTGACAAAGACGGTTACTACAGACAAACTAAAGTTGTGTTCAACTTCAGTTGGCATGCTAGAGTAACAAGACTATAAAAGCTACTGGATTGATCGAGGTGTGAAGACAGATTAAAATAAGTCTTCAAGTGGGAGATTGTTAAAAGTTCAAAGTTTGGCAACCAACTTTGAAAAAATGGTTTTCAAAGTTTGGTAAATGTTTCTTTGAAAAATGGTTTTTCAAAGTTTGGTAGATGTTTGTTGAAATATTGTAATGTGATAATCATAATTAGTCACTAGACTTTAGGGTATTTACAAGATTAAGTCCTTAAGCTTCAAAACCATCCCAAATCATTTTCTTTCTCCCAATACTAGATAGCTTTCTTGTGAGTAGTGAGTGTTTTGTAAACACTTGTAAATTTTCTCTCTTAGTAAAATATCTGCAGCAGTCCGGAGACGTAAGCAAATTTGGTTGAACTCCGTTATCAATTTCGGGTATTATTTTTCCGCTTTTATTTCGCATTCTCGCTAATCTAGTTATAGGGAAATTACTCGTTTCTCGGTTTATTTCCTAACATTGTTAATGTGGCAGAAATTCACATTAATAATTATTATTAAACACACGTAGGTGGCCATACAATTTTACGAAAATTTGATGATATAATCATTATTTTTAATTTTATTTTGATTTAATTACATAGTAGGTTATTGAATTATAATATAAATTTATTATTTGAACATAGATTTACGAAATATCGTCTACTAAAGATGATCGAATGAATGACACTAGAGAAGTTCATTTACCCAATGTTTATCTATGAATATACTTAATATTGAAGTGTCTGCGTAGAGGGATTCACGTAAGCTTACTTGAAGCAGAAGCTTGAAGCCGCTGCTGGTTTTTTGAATAACAACCGCAATACATGCACGCATGTGCCCAGTTTACTTTTCCCAGTACCAAAACATTTTGTACTTTGCAAGTTTACCCCCCAAGATTTTCCCGAGTCAAATACGATCCTTTGTCTTTATTATATAAAAGAAATATAAAGAGAAAATTAGTATACTATTTGTTTACGATTTTGCCTCTCTTTTTTTTCCTGTGTTAGTGCATTGATTACTGTTTGATTGTAACAATTTGTAGGGATTAGTGGGTTACACCCACTCTTTGATGTGGCCTATATATATCTCCTTTGCTCTCGCTTCTTTTGCTGCACAGAATTAGTATTTCAATATTCATATCATATTTTTCATATTCATCCTTTCTTATGCTTCAGAAAGCCATGCCGGAAGCTCCCAAAGCCTTATCCGTCGAGGGTACCGTCGTCGAAAATAACGACAAGGCATTGAAATTCATCGAGGATGTTACCATTAACGCTGATGAAGTGCAGAAGCGAGTTCTATCCAAGATTCTCTCTCGTAGCGCCGACACCGAGTACTTGCGAAGGAACGGTCTTAACGGGTGTACCGATAGAGGAACGTTCAAGAAGGTGATGCCAGTCATTACGTACGAAGATTTGAAGCCGGATATCGAGCGTATCGCGAATGGCGATACGTCGCAGATTCTTTGCTCACATCCCATATCAGAGTTCTTAACAAGGTCAGTCCATTGTGTTTAAAACTTTAAATATTGAATTATGTATGTTCTTTTTGGAGATGATCATGAACCGTGCTGTTTTGCATGGGACTGTTTAATGGTATAGCTCGGGTACGTCTGCCGGCGAGCGAAAGCTGATGCCGACGATAGACGAGGAACTCGAGAGGAGATTGTTTCTTTATAGCTTGTTAATGCCTGTGATGAGTCAATTCGTTCCGGGTTTGGACAAAGGGAAGGGAATGTACTTTTTGTTTGTGAAATCAGAAGCTAAGACCCCGGGTGGACTCGTGGCTCGTCCTGTTTTAACCAGCTACTACAAGAGCTCATATTTTAAAAATAAGCCTAACGATCCCTACACCAATTATACAAGCCCAAACGAAACCATTCTCTGCCTGGATTCTTACCAGAGCATGTATTCTCAGTTGCTTTGCGGTCTATGTCAAAATGAAAAAGTCGTTCGGGTAGGTGCGGTTTTCGCCTCTGGTTTCATTCGAGCAATTCACTTCCTTCAAAAACATTGGGGTCTTCTTTGTAACGATATCCGAACCGGAACTATCGACCCGAAGATCACTGATCCTTATGTAAGAGAAGCCGTCTCGAAAATCCTGAAACCTAACCCCAAGCTTGCTGATTTTGTTGAGGCAGAATGTAGCAATGGGTCATGGAAAGGGATCATAACTAGACTGTGGCCTAACACTAAGTACATAGATGTTATTGTCACAGGTACCATGTCTCAGTACATTCCTGCACTAGATTATTACAGCAACTCCCTCCCCCTTGTTTGCACCATGTACGCGTCGTCCGAATGTTATTTCGGAATCAATCTCGACCCGCTTTGCAAGCCTAGTGAGGTATCCTACACCCTTATCCCCACCATGGCGTATTTCGAGTTCTTGCCGGTGACTAGGGAAAATGAGTTAATCAGTACCATCTCCGAACCAACGACCCTGAATGACGAAGAGAAACAACAACTTGTCGATCTTGTCGATGTCAAACTAGGACAAGAATATGAGCTTGTTGTCACAACATATGCAGGTAACGCAGTGCCTTGAAAACATGTTTGATTTGATACATTATTTATTTTTGGTGTCTCTGAGAAGGGAAATGTTTTATGTTGGCAGGTCTTTATCGATACCGAGTCGGAGACATACTTCGTGTATCCGGATTCAAGAACAACTCCCCACAATTCAATTTCATATGTAGGAAAAACGTTGTGCTCAGCATTGATTCCGATAAAACCGACGAGGTTGAACTCCAAAACGCAGTGAAAAACGCTGCAAATCAACTCGGGCAATTCGAAGCATCTCTGGTGGAATACACCAGCTATGCGGACACATCGGCGACTCCCGGTCACTACGTGCTGTACTGGGAACTCAGTGTTAAAGATGCAAATTCGATCCCTCCGTCAGTTTTCGAGAATTTTTGCTTCACGGTCGAAGAATCACTCCACAGCGTGTACCGACAAGGGCGGGTTTCTGACAAGTCCATCGGGCCATTGGAGATAAGAGTAGTGGAGAATGGCACATTCGACATGCTCATGGACTTTGCTCTAACGCAGGGTGCATCAATAAACCAGTACAAGACACCAAGGTGCGTCAAGTATGCTCCCATTATCGAGCTTCTAAATTCGAGAGTCATTTCGAGTTATTTCAGTCAGAAATATCCGAGATGGAGCCCCGGTCAGAAGCAATGGTGCACTCAAAATTGAACAAGTTGAGCATTGAGCATCTTTTCTCTGTAATGAAAAACAACGGAAGAACTGTTTCACTTCACATTTAGTATGAATGGTTTGAACTTTTATAAACTTTATGAATTCTTTTACTTTATAGTAAAAAAACTAAAAATCCTCTTAAAGTCTTCATGTTATAGCGCGTATTATATTTAGTCCTTATACTTGTAATAATCAGCAAAAAGGTCCTTGTACATTAGAAAAAATGATCGTATTCGATAACACAGTCACTGTTGTGTCTTTAGGCTTTGTTGCTACCGCCATTTTCATCTCCATGTTGTTAGTAATGGTCATCTTCAAATGCTTTCTCAGACCCAACTGTCACGATGGAAGCTGAATTGAGGTTGAAAAAGGGAGAATTGGGGATTAATTTGACTTAATTAGGGATTGGGAGTAAATCGGGGGAATTGTAACGGGGAAGGGATGGTAACTGGAAAGGTTGGGATGAAATGTGAGAAAGTTATCGTTGAGGCCAAAGTTGAGATAGAGATTAGGCTAGCTGATGGAGGAAATGAGTCTGGCTAACTGTGGGCTCTGGGTTTGTAATCTGTTTTGAGTGAACCTGCATGAGTCGGCAAAATTTTAGTTAGTTTGTTAGATTTTCAGTACATGCCAACTGTGAGGTACTTGTTAATATATAAACATTGTACTTGATTCCATGGGAATCATCTTTTATGAATGAATGAACAAGTCTTTTCCTAAATTCTTTCTTCTATCTCTCTGAAATCTTAATTCTTCACCCCTAAATTGTGACAAATTGGTAATCAGAGCCTATATCTTGGTCATTCAAAAAAACTGGGAAAGCAGAAGAAAGCTTAAATAATGCCAGATGATGCAACGTTGATTGCTATTCAACAGAGCATTAAGGAGCTATATAATCAAATGGCAGATTTAAGAGATGATGCCCAAATGCCAAAATGGTGGGAACAGAAGGAGAAAAGGTTGGAGAACCTGGAATCTGAGTTTGCTGAACAGAAGGGATACTTGAGTAGAATCCTTAAAATCTTGAGGAGCAAGGAAGGAGAGGAAATTTCTGAAGAGGAAACAAGTAATGACAATACGAAAGACAACCAGGAAACGGATACCTCCAAGTCAACAGACAATATTCCTATACAAGTTACTGTAATAGGAGACAAAGAGATGTATTCCTATCAACCTAATAAACCATGTATTTTAGCATCTAAACCAATAGCTTTCCAAAGTTTTAATTCCGGTGAATCAGAAGTTACAGCTAGCTAACAATGTAGCCAGTGCTAGTGAGATTAAAATGGACAGTGAAAGAAATAATGATAATAAAAATTCATTTAAAGGTCCTTTTGGAAGCTCGGGTTCTATCTTACTCGACCAAAAAAAGAGCTACAAATGTTTGATGCTAGCAATCCTAGAGGATGGATTAGAAAATGGCAGAAATACTTTAATCTATTGGGAGTTCCAGAGGAACAGAAAATGGAGGTAGATGCCATGTATTTAATGGGGAAGGCTGAGACATGGTTTGATGGCTATATTATGCAGAAGTGTAGGGTAACATAGCAAGAATTTGAAGCAGACTTGTGCCATAGGTTTTGTGACAGAAATTATTCAGTCATTGAGGAATTTAACAAGTTAATGCATAAGGGAAGTGTAGAAGAGTACCAGGAGAATTTTGAGCAGTTGAAACCTTATTTGCTGCAACAGAATATGTATCTGGGAAGATTATTTTGTTTCCAATTTCATTAGTGGCCTCAAGGAAGAACTAAAGCACAAGGTTAAGGCTTTGGAGCCTAAAAATCTATCTGATGCATATAGGCAAGCCGAACTTTATGAGTTGGCAAATGATATTGAGACTAAAAAGTATAAAGTTCCTACCAGGAATTTTGCTTACATACATCAGAATAATCAGCCAAGGAATTTGAATATTGGTATGATGGCTAAAACAAGTCCCCTGAATAGTAATGCTAAGCAAAGTTTAGTGGAATACAGGAGAACCCACAATTTATGCTTTAAATGTGGGGAAAAGTTTACCCGTAGACATCAATGCAAGGTTAGACAACTGAATTGCATGGAAGAAGAAGAGTCTGCTGAAAAAGATATGGCCAAAGAAGAATATGGGAAAATAAAGAATTAGAAAGAAAAAAAGCTCTGGAAATATCCATTAATACTATTACAGGAAACGTGGGTCACACTACTTTGAGAATACAAGGATTTATCAAGGGAAAACCATTGAATATATTGATAGACAGTGGAAGCACTCACAATTTTGTAACTTCCAAGTGGGCTAAGGAGGGAGTGGAGTTAGCAAACACTCAACCATTAGTAATCACAGTAGCTAATGGAGAAAAGTTGTATTGCAATGCTAAGAGTAACAAGATGAGCTGGAAGATGCAAAGATATGAATTTCAACATGATTTTAGAGTTTTATCCTTAGGAGGCAGTGACATGGTGCTTGGTGTAGATTGGATGGAGGAATTTAGTCCCATTTTGATGGATTTTAAGGACAGGACTATCAGTTTTATGAAAGATGGAAAGACTGTGGTTATTAGGGGAACTAAAAAACTACCCCTAGTCAGACCCATCACAGGAGAAAAATTTTAGAAATAAACAGCAAAGGATACTGAATTGAGTGGATAATATTTTTTGGTTAAGCGTTGAAGTTGCTGACAGTATAACTCCTAAACCACTTCAGAAATTACTAAAAGTATTTCATGAAGTTTTTAAAGAACCTAAAGGAATGCCTCCCAAAAGAAAACATGATCATGCTATTGTCCTAAAACAAGGGTCACAACCTGTGAATCTTAGACCATACAGGTTTACACATCCTCATAAGGCTGAAGTGGAAAAGAAGACTACTAAAATGTTATCAGCTTCCATCATTCAAGTGAGTCAAAGCCCTTTTGCTTCTCCATGTCTACTAATTAAGAAGAATAATGGAACTTGGAGATTCTGTGTAGACTATAGACATCTTAACTCCGTCACAATCAAGAATAAATTCCCTATTTCTATAATAGAAGATTTACTAGATGAACTGAATGGAGCTATATTCTTCTCAAAAATTGATCTAAGGTCAAGGTATTGGCAAATCAGGATTAAGGAGGAAGACATTCACAAGACTGCTTTTAGGACTCACCAAAGACACTATGAACTTAAGGTAATGCCCATTGGGCTTACTAATGCTCCAGCTACTTTTCAAGCATTAATGAATGATTTATTTTGTGCCTATTTAAGGAAATTTGTCATTTTGTTCTTTGATGACATTTTAGTTTACAGTCCTAGCTTGGCAGAACATGAACAACATCTAAGGGTGGTTTTAAATATTCTGTTAGAGAATAAATTATATGCTAAAATGAGCAAATGCTTTTTTGGTCAACCACAAGTGGAGTACTTGGGGCATTTGATTTCAGCACAGGGAGTGGTTACTGACCCTGCTAAGATTAAGGCTACGCAATAATGGACTTTGCCTAAGAATTTGAAAGTCTTAAGGGTTTCTTAGGTTTGATAGGATACTACAGGAAATTCATTAAAGGTTATGGGGAGTTGAGCAAACTCTTGACCAATATGCTCAAGAAAGAATGATTTTATTGGACTCAGGAAGCCATGGAAACATTTTAAGAATTGAAACAAGACATGTGCAAAGCTCCAGTTCTGGCCTTACCTAATTTTGAGCAGATTGTTTTTTTGGAAACAGATGCTAGTTCGAAGGGTATTGGGGCAGTTATCTCTCAAGAATGAAGGCCTATAGCTTATCTAAGCAATGCTCTTGGGCCAAAACATGCAGATTTGTCAATATATGAAAAGGAGTATTTGACAATTTTTAATGGCAGTTTCTCACTGGAGACACTATTTAAAGAGTGGACCTTTTGTCATCAAGACTGATCATGAACCACTAAAACATCTCATTGAGAAGAAATTAACTACAACCATTCAGAAGAAAGGACTTACTAAGTTGATGGGGCTTGATTATACAATTCAATACAGAAAGGGCAAACATAATAAAGTGGCAGATGCTCTTTCTAGATAATAAGAGGATTCTGGGGAGTTTTTACAAATAGGCATAACAGTTATAACTCCTACTTGGATACATGATATTGAACAGAGTTATGAGGATGATGCAATTGCACACAAAAAAAATTCCTATTTTGGTTCTTCAACCAGATAGTACATAAGATTGGAAGTTGGTTAAAGGAGTTTTGTATTTCAAAAATAAAGCTTATATAGGCAACAAGGGGGACCTCAGAGAAAAGATTATTCTAGCTCTCCATGACTCATCAATAGGAGGCCACTCAGGTATTTAAGCTACTTATCAAAGAATCAAGTCATATTTTTTTTGGCCTAGAATGAAAACTATGATTCAATAGCATGTGCAACAATGTGAAGTTTGTCATAGCACTAAGATAGAACATATTGCTAAACCAGGATTGTTACGGCCCATTCCTATTTCTAACAATGCTTGGGAAGTCATTTCAATGGACTTCATTGAGGGTTTACCATCTTCTATGAAGCACACATGTATTCTAGTGGTGATAGATAAATTCACCAAGTATGCCCATTTCTTACCATTATCTCATCCATATATAGTGGTGGAAATTGTCAGGATATATTTAGAACAGGTCTACAAACTACATGGTCCTCTTAAGGTTGCTATTTCAGACAGAGACAAGACTTTTACTAGTCTCTTTTGGCAGGAATTATTGAAACAACTGGGAACGACAATGTTTTTCAACATTGCCTATCATCCAGAAATGGATGGACAAACGAAATGGCTTAATCAGTGCTTGGAGCAGTACCTTAGATGCATGTGTTTTGTCAAACCATCTTCATGGTCAAAGTGGCTACCTCAAGCATAGTAGTGGTATAATACTAATTACCACACTGCATTAGGAATGACCCCATTTGAAGCACTCTATGGTTATAAACCTCCTAATTTGACTCGATCAGGAGAATCTAAGGTTGGGGCAGTTCAAGACATGATGCAGCAACGTGATCAGTTAAATAAGTTGTTAAGAGAGCAACTAATTAAGGTTAATAATCGTATGAAATAGATAGCCGATAAACATAGAACGGATAGAGAATTTAAAGTGGGAGATGAGGTCTACCTGAAGCTT